ACTACTATCTACTACTACTACTACTACTACTACTACTACTACTACTACTACTACTACTACTACTACTACTACTACTACTACTGCTACTACGACTACGACTAGAACAACAACTACTACTACTACTACTACTACTACTACTACTGCTACTTCTGCTACTACTACTACTACTAATAATAATAATACTACTACCAACTTGACTGCGCATCGACCGCCGAACTGTCGGTTCAATGATGGGGCCCTGAGGGACGGGAAGGAACCCCAAGACCAGCAGAGCCGAACATATGATCAAGAGAACTACCGTTCAAGAAATCTGGGCGGGCTTCCCAGAAGTTGTTTAAATAAGCAAACGAGAAAAGCCTGGGCCGATTTCTGCCCTTCACGCTGACGGGGCGACCGTGCTCGAGAAACGGGGCCGGCTTCCCGGCAAGCTGGTGAGGACATGATGCTGGCCCGGCTTTTCGCGAGGAGGGTCGCCGAGGAGGCTTTTCGCGAGGAGGTTCTTAATCCAGGTGCTCGACTGAAGACGTCGGAGCTCTTGGATCGGCGCCGGACGCCCTGGCAGGCGCCTCCGGCGCCGCCCCTGGCGGGCGCAGCATGCGCCGGGGAGGGGGGCACGGCGTCGGTCGATCCGAGAAGTATCCGCGCGGAGCTCCAGCAGTTCATGCTCATGCCTTGCATCGAGTCGGAGATCGACCACTCCTCCTCCCCTTCTCCTCCTCCTCCTCCTCCTCCTCCTCCTCCTCCTTTCTCCCCCTGTTCTCGTCCACCCCCCCCCTGGCGAGGTGCTGGCCCCGCCAGACAAACCCAGACTTGACGTATGTTTCGTCCAGTCTACGATCAACGATTATAATGTTTGAATGGAGCGGCGAAGCTTCTGCACATGTTTCGTAGCTGCGGCGAGAACGTCAATTTTGGGATTTATCAATGCTGTACAGTCGAAACGTGTATTACGGGCGGGTGGTAAGGACGCTAGACCCTTGGAGGCCGAAACTGGAATTTTGTTGGGCGGCAGGCGACCAATGAAAACGGCAAAGGACGGGCCGCAGAGGCAAGGACACAGGGGCACCCTGGATGAAGGCGCGCATCCTTTCTAGGCGCGTTGACTGCAGTCGATCTCCTACTCGAGTCTTTGTTGCTTTAGATCAGGCATGTCCTCCTACAGGCTAATTCTGAAAGGAAAATGAAAATTGCCAAAACAATAGAAACATGAACAATTGCCAAAAAAACGTGGCGGCGCCTGTAAGAAGACCAGAGCGCTTCAGAAGCTGCCTATTTTTGAGTTCTCCTCCTGTAGAGGGACATGCGCGACTTACTTGCTGCTCCTCGGAGCTCTGGGTATGCTTAGGTCGGGAATGTCCCCCAACAGGCGGATTTGGAACGAAAAATGTAAAAATAGCCAAACACATCCAAAAAATAAACAAAAAAGAATCAAAAAAAAAACATCCCCAGACGATTTGTTGATTATTTTCGAATATCACTCCTGTAGAGGGCCGTGCCCAACTGAAGGGCATGCGGCGGGGCTCCTTCGCCCGCGCGGCCGCCCCCTTGGCCGCGGCCGGCTCCGCGGGCCGCTGCCTGGCGCCCTCCTCGCCCTCCTCCTCCGGCCCCTCGCTCTCCTCTGTGGACGCCCGAAATGGGTACGGAAAGAATTCGCACAATGCCCAACGACAAGTGTTGTCCCAGACCAACAGCAGCCGCTGTTGGGCAAGCGGCCTTCGGTCTCGAATGGACAGAGGCCGCGGCGGCGTGGACAGCGAGTCCTGTTCAAAATGAACAGGAACTGCTGTTGGGCCCATTTCGTTCCCATTTCGCTTGTGCAGATCCTCGCCGCCCCCGGGCGCTCCCCGGGCGGCGGGCGCCGCGGGCGCCGCGCCGAACGCCCGCGGCACGATGGGCTGCTCCTCGTCCGCCTCGGCATGCGGCGGCGGCGCCCAAAAGGCGGCGGCCCTGTCCGCCCGGAGATCCTGGCGACGACATTTTGTTCGAGCCGGGCGTGTTCGCCCCAGGTCGGGCGCCGGGACCCTCACAGATCGATCCGGCTCGGAAAATGGCGCAGAAAGATGGGGTCCGGGTCTCCAGGCGCGGACATTCACGATGTTGCATTTTTTTTGCTACGTCGGATCTCAGGGTCTCCCCAGACCCCAGACGCCCTTGCGTCGCGAAAAAAACATGACGCCCTCGCGCCGTGAAGGAAAAGCTAAATCACATCATCCGGATCACAAGTTTGAGATTGTAAATCTTTGCCTTGGGCGTCCAGCGGCCCTGACCGGGCCTCGGGACCGTCAGAGAAAAACTCGGGAGGAGAAGCCGGTCCCCAGGAAGGGGCCCGGGTCTCTGGGGGCCCACGCTGTGAAAACATCATGACGTCCGGGGGTCTGTGTGCTGCGGCGGCGGCGCCGGCGGCGGCAGCTCCGTCTCCAGGGGCCTCTCTAAGACCCTGGCGTCCCATGTTGGTCGCTTCGGGCGATGTCGTCCTCTTTCGGGCCCCAGGGCCCTCAAGGACAGGTCCGGCTCGAGAGATGACGCCCCGCATCCTGGGCCCCTTGGAAGTGCTGCTCCCTCTCAGGGGCTGAGGAACATGCTCCCTTGGAGGCAGGTCGGGCTCCGGGCTCCCGAGGCGGGGCAGCCTTCTCAAAAGGTCTTTTTTGGCCTCCTTCTGGGCACACTCCGACCTGCCGTTTTTCGCGTTCCTCCCAGGGGGGAACTCCAGGAGGTATCCCGCGACACCAACGAGGTGCCGAGGAGGAGAAGCATCTTAGATGGCAAGAGTCCGAAAAAGTAGCCCACCTCGCCTTGCCCCTGGCCAGAGTCCGCTCTCCCAGGACCCACCCCTGCCAGTTTTCAGAACCGCGCGCAGCCGTCGCGACGCGAACCTCCAGAAACGCCCCCAAGCCTTCCGAACCGACGACGTCGTCGTCGTCGTCGTCGTCGTCGTCGTCGTCGACGACGTCGGCCTCTTGGGGAGCCCCGAAGGCCTCCGAAGGCCTCCGAAGGCCCCTAAAGGGCCTCCCGACGGCATCCCCCGAAGGCCTCCGAGGGTTCCAGCACGGCCCGCGAGGGCGGCCGATGGCCCCCGAAGGCCTCCCGAGGGCCGCTTTCGCCCTGCTCAGCTCCTCCTCCTCCTCCTCCTCCTCCTCCTCTTCTTCTTCCTCCTCCTCCTCCTCCTCCTCCTCCTCCTCCTCCGCCTCCTCCTCCTCCTCCGCCTCCTCCTCCTCCTCCTCCTCCCCCTCCTCCTCCTCCTCCTCCTCCTCCACCTCCCTCCTCCTCCTCCTCCTCCTCCTCCTCCCCTCCTCCTCCTCCTCCACCTCCCCCCCTCCTCCTCCTCCCCTCCTCCTCTACCCTCCTCACTCACACCTCCTCCCTCCCTACCTCCTCCTACCCCTCCTCCCCCCCTCTCTCCTCTCCTCCCCCTCCTCCTCCCCTCCTCCTCCTCCCTCCTCCTCCTCCTCCTCCTCCTCCTCCTCCTCCTCCTCCACCTCCTCCTCTCCTCACCCTGTCCTCCTCCTCCTCCTCCCCTCCTCACTACCTCCTCCTCCTCCCACCTCCTCCACCTCATCACATCATCATCATCATCATCAATCATCCAATCATCATCACCTCATCCCTCAATCCTCATCCCTCCTCCATCATAATCATCATCATCACATCATCATCATCATCATCATCATCATCATCATCACCACCACCACCACCACCATCACCATCATCATCATCATCATCATCATCATCATCATCATCATCATCATCATCATCATCATCATCATCATCATCATCATCATCATTTTCCTCCTCCTCCTCCTCCTCTTCCTCCTCCTCCTCCTCCTCCTCGTCCTCCTGTTCCTTTTCCTCCTCCTCCTCCTCCTCACACACACAGCGAGCCGAAACATCCGAACAGGCTGGCTGAAAAGCCCCTGACCAGGAGCTGAAAAGCTGCACGCGCTCAAGGATGCTCAGGATGAGCGAGAGACAGAGAGAGAGGGGGGGGAGAGACAGAGAATGAGAAAGGCCCAGCCCCAGTCCCTGCTGCGACTTCTGGCCGCGCCACTGCCGCTGGATGGGGAAGGGAAGAGGCGTCCACAACATCCTGCCACCTGAGCTCGAATAACCCCCACATGAACCATCATCTCCAGGCACCCATGTACGCACATGGGCTCAGGTCGGAGTCAGCATTCCGACTGACAGCCTTGGTTGTTCGTGCGGCCTGCTGCAATGGGGCTGGGAAGGGAGGGAAGGGTCCTCCTCCTCTGCCCATGCACGCGACACCACGTAACACACACACACACACACACACACACACACACACACACACACACAACACACATAACCACACATCATACTCGAACTCCTCCAAACCACCCACCACCCCCAGGGCGAAATACATTTAACGGGAGGGGGAAACTGACGAGATCGTCGTGGCGGCGGCCGCCGTTACGACACAGGCATTGGATCTTTGGGCAGGGCGAAAACGCCACTGCATGTTCGGGGCACACTCGCACCTTTGGACGCTCTCAAAGCGCCTCGAGACTGCTACCCGTCCTCCCCCACCTCAATTCCTGGCCCGCCACAC